CGAAGACTCGGAAGAGCCTGCGTTAACTGTCGTGCGCCGTTTTTTTGCATTTCTGAGGATTCGGACTTGTCTTGGGGTGGGGTGGGGCGGGCGGTTAATAACGTCCGTGCTGCGTGAGCTTGGGCCAAAGCTGATGCAGTTTTCGCGACAAAAATTCACCAATCCTCCTCAATCAATACGACTTCCCAATGTTTTCATCCTGATTCCAATCTATCCTATCTTCTTCTCAGCTCCGATGAGTCTCACAAATCTGACGAAGTTGATCCGATGCAGTTCCTTGCGATAGGCAGATCTCACGAAGATGATCCGATGCAGTTGTCGCGACAAAAATTCACCAATCCTCCTCAATCAATACGAATTCCCAATGTTTTCATCCTGATTCCAACCTATCCTATCTTCCACTCAACTCAGATGAATCTCTCACATCTGACGAAGTTCATCCGATGCGTTTTCCTGCGATAGGCACATCTCACAATCATGATCCAATGCAGTTGTCGCGACAAGAATTCACCAATCCACGGCAATTCCCGATGTTTTGATAGTGCAACGAGTATGTCTTTTTCATTGATCTCTCTTTGCTGCCGCATTCGCGGCTGAAAAAGTCATTGGTTACTCATCTTCGAAACCACGTAGAGGAAAAAAGCACAAACTTTGGGGTAAACGGCAAAATCGCATTTTTGAGTGTTGACATCACGAAAACCTCGTTGTGCGCAGTGTTCTCGGCCCTTCAACCACGCGAAAAAGAAGACCCAGAAAAGTAAGACGCCGAATCTCGCAAAGTGCCACGCCTGCCATGGTTTCCACAAAACTAGCTCTGAAAACAGCATTTTCTTTTAGGCCTCGTTTTCAGTCTTAAAATGTGCTCCCGCTGTGGCGAACCGCGTATTTGCACAAAAAACACGCGACGGATTCCGACACTTGCGGTATGAGCTAATAAATATATACACACATGTAAGACCCTTTTCATACACATATTTGTGCACATACTAACCTGTTGACACACATTCAAAAAATCGTAGCAAAACATTTGGTTAATGTTTGAGTAGGTGTAATATCTGATACTCGAGGTAAGGGCTTGAAACATGCTAAACAATATTGTCAAACAGTTCATCTTTCGCATATTAAAGATAGATATAGGACGTATCTGTGTATTTATCTGTGCATCTACAGACCTGTTTCATTTTAGGTATATCAGTTTGTCTGATAACGATAGCCACAAGCGCAGTATTCATTGAAATAGACATTTCTTGCAAAAGGGCCGTAGTTAGTATGCTACAAATGGACGTATATATGTATGTATATGTATGCATGTATGTATGTATGTATGTATGAAAAGTTGACCGCTGTGATTAGCTTGCAAGTGAAACAGTGTTACAACAAAGAAGCAAAACTAATTACGGCACTCACATGTATACATACGTACACATGTACACATATAGAAAACATATATCGAGTGCCCTTTCCGTGAGAGCGCTGTCTCAATTTATGTGGTGCGCCGACCAACCGAAAAATATCCGGAAGTGTTCGAAATCCGCGCAGTAGAATCCAGGAGCTCCAACATAATATTGTTGTTTCTTTGCTGGTCACTTTGTTGTCTGCTGCTTGCTTTTGGTTCCTTTACTGTGCATATTCTGGACTTGGCTGCATGCCCTGAAACCACCGAAAACCCGCATGCACAGGGCTCCCTGTTTTGTATACTACACCAGCATATGTCATAACAAGATGGCGATAGCAAGCTACGCTTAGTGTGGTATATATGAATATGCAAATATATGTTATATACACATATATGGTCACAACCCCCCATGATCCAGCCCAGCCTTCTTGTCAACTGTTCGTGCAAGGTACTATGTCTCCAAATGCTTTCTCCGAAGTCCATAAACCATCGGTATTTGCGGGGCTTTCTATACTTCACAGATATTGACCTGTGCTTATCGTACTCTATTTCTTGCAAATGAAAAACCACCCAAATTCCAAACCAGAATCTGGTTCTGCGTCCGCGCTAGTGCGAAGAAGCACTCGAGCCCCTCTGTTAAGACAGACGAAAGAAAACACAGTTGTTTTTGCTCAGTGGGTGTTATTATCTGTCATTAGGAACTCCTGTTTCATCACACACAATGGCTGGAACCCAACGAGCCCTTACGATCTGCCAATAAAGCAAAATTAAGTCTGAATGTTTCGGAGAAGAAAGTGGTCTCGCTCCACCGAATTCCAAATACATTCGGTGGTATGTCGAGGTATGTCGAGCTTTTTACGCTGCAAAACATGAAAACCATATAACAAGTCAAATTTTCGTGTGCTACCAGCAAGAACACAAGCTAAGACCAAGTAAACATCCCCCGCCGTCTTCTCCTCATAGAACTATGGAAGCATACCTCTATACTATACCTTGTAAGGCTTCGTGGGAATTGAGACAAACATTTTACTTGGAAGCATTCGTTGTGCCTCTCCTAGTAAAACGACGTATGCTAAACACATCTGCTGTCCTCGCTTAACTACTAAGATGAAAGACGATCCCGGCTCACAACTCAATCAAGCTCTATTGCAGCGTACTACTCGCACACATAATAAAGATCCTGCCATCCTTCAGGGCAAAATGAAACAGCTCCAAACCTCTCTCTCCCCACAGACTCAGAGCAATGGTGGAACACATCTAATTCTCACTATCGTTATGCGTTTAGGACAGCAACAAAACACTTGACTTGCATCTTGATCAAGGCTGATGTTAGCTACAATCATGACTCAGCTCGATGAAAGAAGACTTGGAACTGAAGCAATTGAAGCTCATTTGCTAGGTTCCCCAGTGTCCCCTTAATCATGAGGTTTGGTATCTAACGGAACCCTCAAACTCATAAGGCAAACAGGATACTAGTGGGGAACTGACTTTCTGTAATACGAAAGGAACGACCATTTATCTTGCAATATGAAATACCTGAGCTTATCAGCTTCGGTAGCTATTGAATATGAAGTGCTTTTTCCGCAGCGGGCAAGGTTCTAAACTGTTAGCAAGGTCTACACTGTTAGCAAGATCTTACCTCAATGAGGAAACAAGAACTCGACGATATTTAAACATGATGTCAATGTCAGGTTCAACAGACATTCGCGTTTGCATACAGACAAGTTTCATTAGCATAAGAGTGTGCAGCTGTTCTTCTATTTCTTCTGGTGAGCAAAGCTGCTCTCAACTACGGTTCTGAGTTTCGTCGGTGAAAAAAAGCGTGAGTACCGTTGGTAGCTGAAGCACGCGAAGGCCACTTATGTAATACAGCCAGAAGCAGCCGTTTATCTTGCAATATGCAATAGCGGAGCTTATAAGCTTATCTGCTGGCTAGATCCGATGTCTCTCAACCTTGAGAAGAAAGCTAGAGAGCCACGTCCCCACCACGTCCTAGAGCATCCACAAACACAAACAGGTTTGAATAGTACAGGGCACACTGCTCCTCTATTACTCTTTGGATTTCAGCTTAGGAAAAGTCGATCCCTGTCCATGTTTTCGCATCCGAAGTTGCTAAATTGCTGCCAGGCTCTAATTTCCACAAAATTTCTATAGCCTGGCACTGAAATGCGAAAACACAGGCAGGGATCAAATTTCACCCAAATTCCTAGAATCCTCGCATCTATGCGGAGAGCGGGAGCGATAAATGCTCGGATTCTGGGAATTTGGGGGAAATTTGATCCCTGCCAACGTTTTGGGGACATGTGATCCTTGTCGATGTTTTCGCACCGGGAGGTTGCCCACCTCCCATGATCCACTGCTTACGAAAATCGTGCTGGGTTGGATCATGGGGGGCGGGGGGCGGCGTGAGCATATATATATGTATATATATATACATATACTTACATACGATGTGCATGTGTACATATTCTTTGTGTGTGTATGCATAGACCTAAGTATGTTGTGAGCAATGTGCTATGCTATAATATACGTGTAGAAAACATATGAATACAAGTGGTATACAATCTAACCTGTATTGCTTTTTATGTTGTGGATGCAACTGGAAATTGAAACTTAGGTGATGGACATTCTGCTGTATATGCCGTATTTTATGTTATATAGTAAGTGAAGCTAGAGTGAACTAAGAATGCATCGTGTCACCTCGTACTACATGCTCAATATTGGCCCGAACCTATATTAATAGTCTGTTGTGCTATGCTGTAACACAGCACATTGTTTGCAAGACCATACTGTGCTATGTTGCATATCATATGCTGTATTCCATTATGACGACCTCTATCATGTCATCTCAACGAATTTGCGATGGCATCATTCCAAACCATGTTATATTTACAGAAAGCACTGCTCTGTGACAGAAACACTCTGCGTCGCATGAGTAGACTATGCAATGTACAAGACTAAACTCTGCGATGCAAGCGACTTTAAGCTATTCTAAGTTATGCCATATCACACAATGCCATACAGTATTGTATTCTGCTATGTTGTATTATGGGATGTGATGCTGTATTATGACGCTTTGTGTGAAAACTTTTGGCTCTGTACTATGCAGTTCTGTATTCTCTCGTATTGTGCTGCACTTCACTTTCAATTACATTGCATTCCTCATATTGCGTTATATGGATATTATCTGGCCTTACATTGACCTGTTCAGTGATTGAACCTGCCCGTCTTTTCTCTGCTTTCATGTTCGCCTGTTGCCACTAGCCTTGTACCACGATTATGATTGCCGTTACTATTCTTTAAGATATGAGCTTTTGAGGCTTGCACCTTCGGGGTTGAGCATTTGTTGTTCCTTCCTTCTTCCGTCCATCCTTCCTGGCTCACTTCCTCACATGGATTGCTCCCTCTTCTTTCGCGATGCTCTCCTTTTAAACGCATAGGTAAATTTTGTTGCGACCCTGATGACATTTGACTGAACCCTCTTTGAATTTGCTTTGACGCTGCTTATTCTTCGATCCACATCCCGCCACAATGCATGCCGTGCAAACGGGCTCGCAATCAACCTGAGCCCGAGCGATTCCTGATGCTTATCGTACTTACGTATCTAGCGCACGTGATGCATACATATATGCAAACTCAGGTGCAGAAGAAGGGCAATCACACGTCGGAAATTGCAACATTCAACATAGACAGTTCTAGGTATACAGAACTGAGACAAGCAGCCACCACGCCCCGCGTCTTCGGAGTATAGGATAAAACCATCATTCACCACTTGCCATACGGAGGTGACCACAACAACCTCTGGATCATAACAGGAGACTCCACCAATGCTTTCGACTTATGAGGGACCCCGTCATGCAAATGTCAAGGTGGTGGAGTCGAAGGCTGGATGTCAGATCATGTGCTGAGGCTTATCTCAACTTCTGCTTGATCTCTAACCCTGATCTTCCGTTAAGTCTGATGACGAGATCCAGCCAGCCCCACATCCACTCTTTCGAAAAGAAGACATGCTTGCCACCGGCGCCAATTCGCATCAAGAGCTCCTGGCATTATACTGTCGGGCATGCAACAAGCTGCGAAGAGTCGTCTACTTTCTGTTGCTGGCAAAGCCAAAGGCCTGCCCTGAGACAAGAACAACCTCGTTCAGAATCAGACAAGGGTCCACCGTGAATATTGCTGCAAAAGCTACATGCATGAAAAAATACTCCGGCTGCATCGACCCCGGATGCTCGATAGCATGCTGGGTTTCGAAGCCGATGAACACCGCGTTCGTCAGAACCACAAGGGTGCAACCGGCTTCGAAGAAGGGATGCGAGCAAATCTCGCCAAGGCAGCCTTGCCTGGAATCTTCTACACCTTCTGCATTCGCGGGGAGCAGCTCCTTCTTCGATCGATGCACTTCGGAAGCCGCTCGTCGAAGTGCACGGTCAAGTGCTGAGAAAGTCTTCAGATAACGCCGCTGGGTCCCTTGTTCAGCCTTCATGCTCATGCTGGCTTCCACTTCGCTAATCGAGCTGGCTGACGAAGCCACGCTGGACCGGATCGACTGGCGTTCTGTAACTATTGGTACTGGAAACGCAGCGGGCTGCACCAGGCTAGTTTGAAGGCGTTCTTTGAACACAACGTTCTGCAATGTAGAATGCTGTGCCGCCAGCTGCTGCATGATCTCCCGGTGCTGCTGCATCAGCAAGCCATGCAAGTCCGCAGCGCAGCTCGCGTCGACTGCTGCCATGTAGATGCCAGGGCTTGCTGGGGGAGAGTGGCGTACACTCTCCGGCACTTCGACGTCTGCTGGCAGATTGGAAAGCTCTGGAGGCAGTGTAGTGTCCATTCCGCTGGCGCGCGATGTCTCTGGTGACAGCGCACGTGGGTCGCACATGGACAACTCTCTCTGTCTGAGGAATGGAATGAACAAGCTAGAAAGGCATCTGGACTTGCTTGCCGCTGGAGTCTCGTAGTCCGTCGGATTTGTGGACACGTGTCAGAACGGAATCAGTGACTGCTGCTCTGTGCATGCCTTTCTGGACCGTCCGAGCATGGCAACCCCGCATCCCATTTTGCTGCTTGCCTGCTAACTTAAGATATAACTTGATAGTCATAGCGGTACGAATAGTGAAGTAGTAGTGGTAGTAGCACTCGGTCGTAGCAGCAGCAGCAGCAGCAGCAGCAGCAGCAGCAGCAGCAGTAGGAGCAGGACCAGGAGCACCAGCAGCAGCAGCAGCTGCGGCAGGAGCAGCAAAAGCGGTATTGACAGGCGTAGTCGTCGTCGATGTCGTCGTCGTGGTGCTGCTGCTGCTGCTACTACTACTACTACTACTGCTGCTCTTACTCCTACACTCCTACTGCTACTCTTACTCCTACTCCTACTGCTACGGCAACTGCTTACTTCTACTGCTTCCGCTACTACTACTACTACTACTACTACTACTACTACTACTACTACTACTACCACTACCACTACCACTACTACTACTACTACTACTACTACTACTACTACTACTACTACTACTACTACTACTACTACTACTACTACTACTACTACTACTACTACTAGTGATGGAGTAGCGTAGAGTACTACGAGTAGTACTCTTCGTCGTAGTAGTCGTAGTAGTAGTATAGTAGTAGTAGTAGTAGTAGCAGTAGCAGTAGCAGTAGCAGTAGCAGTAGCAGTAGCAGTAGCAGTAGCAGTAGCAGTAGTAGTAGTAGTAGTAGTAGTAGTAGTAGCAATAGTAGTAGTAGTAGTAGTAGTAGTAGTAGTAGTAGTAGTAGTAGTAGTAGAAGTAGTAGTAGTAGTAGTAGTAGTAGTAGTAGTAGTAGCTATGAACAGCAGTTGCTATGATTACTACTAGTACTCGACGTTACTCTAAGTTCCCCACATTTGGCTTCTCCACGTGAACCGGCCGCGTCACTCCAATCGAGAAACTACTCTGCCTTCCAAGGCATACGGTGCGAGCTCACCTGTGGAGAATCTAAGCAAGCTGGAGCATGGTTTGGCAAAAATGTCAGACTGTCAGACTATTGCTATTCGAGCTACACTACTGCCATACTACAGACATTCAAGCCTCCAGTCCAGCAAAACGACAACTGATGAAAGGCGGCTCTGACCGGAATACTTCATACATAAAATGACTCCACTGGACCATGTGCGGAACACGTGGTGACATGTACAGCAGCCAAGCTCCACTCTTATGTGCAGCAGCTGAACCTTCTCAACACTGGCGGGCTCTCGTGGTGGAGGGAGTTGGGACGTGAAGGCTCGACTGGGCTCAAATGCAGCCTACAAAAAGGAAATGAAACTGGGGCGTCCCCAGGGTGTCTAGGACTTGGGGCAGACATCCAGCGACCCAGATCTGTGTTGAGCGGCTAGTTGTTGCTTCCTTGGGAAGCGAAATGTCGCAACATGCAACATGTGGAAACTGCATCGTCCACCCTACCCCCGAGGGTAGGGACCTCAACTACCTTACGAGGTTGCCCGTTTTGGGGTTGAGGCATACTTCACACCTCCAAGGGAGGAGGATTTGTCGACATCCTCAAGGACCGGCACCACGCCCACAGCAACTCCAATCATGTCAGTCCTCGGCCGCGCCGCTGCTTGTCACAAGTCTGCACATGTGTGCAAGCTGCATCAGAGGGTCTGCAACATTTGCAGGTGCATGGAACGGATAGCAGGGATAGGCAAATACCCAGCAGAAGTTTCGCTCAACCTGCGTCCTGTAACGTCCCAGCGCATCGGGCCCAGGCGGCCCAAAATGTGAAAAGCTAGACTCTCAATCATTTGCCGAGTTGTTTTTTCCAACATTGTGCAGTGCCCGCTTCTGCAAGCAGGGATATCAATGCCTTCACTAAAAAATCATTAAGAACTGACCTCCAAGCGGATCGGTTTCGCCATGTTGTTTGGTTGGATGGTCGGTCGCTTGGTTTGTAGGTGTCGTCGTCGTCGTCGTCGTTGTTGTTGTTGTTGCTGCAGCCGCTCCCGCTGTTCTTGCTGTTTCTGGTGGCGCTTTTGTTGTTGGTGGTTGGGGGTGGTGAGGAAGGGGCGATCGTTGCACTGGGGTGTTGGGGTTGTATAGGGGTTGTATGGGGGATATAGTGAACAGATTGGGGGGTGCATGTGAGGTGTAGGGCAGGGAGTATGAAAGGATGTATGGGATATAGAGGCTGTTGCTGGTGCTGTTGGCGTTGTGTTG